GGACCGTGGGTGTCCGGACCGCAGGGCAATGCGGGTCCCGCGGGGGTGCGCAGCACAGAGGCGCTTTGTGTTCTGCCCCCCCCCACTCCACACCCTGTTTTTGGGACCAAGCAGGGGGCAACGCCAGCGCTGGGTTTCCCCGGGCTGAAGCTGCTGCCCACCTCCTCCCTCCCAGCCCAACCCGGGGCTCTAGCGCCCCCGCGCTCCAGAGGGAGGTTTTTGGGGTGCAAGTGTGCCTCATCGCTCCCCAAAAGCAACATTATTTGGAATTATTATTAATTCTCGATCCGAGTGCGGTGCCGGTGCTCCAGCTGAGCTCTGCCGGCCAAAATCAGCCCCGGGCTCCTTCCTCGCCAGGCACAGGCATGGGGCCTCGTTAAGCAGGAGAACAAACGGTGCTGGGCAAATTAAAGCAGAAAAAGGGGGTTTGGGGCACAGAGCGGGGTTTGTTTTGGTTCCCGGTGCCCAGTGCAGAGATTTTGGGCAGCAGATGGATGGACACGTGAATTTGGATGCCTCCCCACTGTGTCCAAATCCCTCTTCCCCCGACAGCGTTCCCCGGAGTGGGCGGTGAAGTCCACAAACGCCGGCGTCCCGATGGCCTCCACCTCCTTGTACCTCGCCTCGACCGCTACTAACAGCACCAACCTCCTCCGTAAATCCCCAAAACCCTCCATTTCCCCATCCCTGTGCTCCTATTGCATGTGCTGTGCCAGCTAACCTGCACAGAAACACACTGGAAATGATCCAAGGAGCTTGATTATATATTCTTTATAATTTTTATTTTTGTTTAATCCCAATTAGCTGATGTAGTTGTTTTTTTTAGATGTTATTTTACTCTAATTTTCTTTTTGTCCTGGTGTTTTTAATATGTTTTATTTTCTTTTTTCTCTGATTTATTTTACCGTATTTTATGTTCCTTGTTTTGTTTTCCTCTATTTTGTTACATTTTTCTCTATTTTATTTCATTTTCCTCTATTTCATTGTATGCCCATGTGCTGCTTTGGGTCCTGGTCCATGCTGGAGGGGAAGCAATGCTATTTTTGCCTGGGGGGGGTGATTTCTCTCTCTCTCACGCAGGACTAACAGCGCTCTTTCTCTTTTAAATTGCAGACCCCCTGTAAAAATATCTTCTTCGCCCATCAGGGGAGAGCCGTGCTCATAGTCTGTCTTCACCCATCAGGTGCTTGGTTGGCTGAACCCGACTTATGGGGTTCCCCCCCAAAAATGCCCACCAAAAGCTACTGCAGTGCGGATTGATAAAAACCTCATGCTTTAAAAAAAAATAAAAATCAAAAAAAGGTGTTTTTTATATCAAGAGCACTTGTGTAGAGGAATGTTTTTATTCTTTTAATATAAAATTGCATTAACTTTTCTATGGGACGCACGGCCGTGGGAACGGGACCGGTTGGGATTTTTAAATGCATTTTTTTTGCCAGTTGTTTGTACTAAAAATGGTGACTCAGTGGTATTAAAATATTTCCGATCATGGGCGTCTTTGTCAAAATCGTCTCTTTGTTCTGTCCCTTCCCATCAGGGCCAATCCTGTGCCAGGGCCTCCTTTGCTGCCCGAAGCTCCTCCAACGTGGTCCAGGCAGGAGATGCTCCCCACGCCAAACGCTTTTTGCCTTCCCCAGGCAGGCGCATGCCAAATATCCTGAATCTTTTGCCATGCGTTGCTCTTGAAGGAGGGGATGTGGCCTTAAAAAAATGCTTAATTTAAGGCTAAACCCACTGAAAGCCAAGATGTCCCCACAGCAGGGTCATGTCTCGTGCTTGTGGCCACCAAGGCTGGGATGCCACCAGCACCCTTCTCTCATCACCCCTTTTCTGGTCCCCCAGAGCTGGGCTCTCCCTTATTTTCTCTAATTTTCAATTAATTCAGAGCTGGCTGATGCCTAATTGGGGACTTTGCTAATTGAAGTTGATTTTTGCCTTCCCCCGGAGGGGCAGGACCCCCCTCCCGTGATGCTGTGCCTGGTTTCCTTGGGGGGGTGATGCTTTCTATCCAGGTTTTTGTCCTCTCTCAGCATCCTCAACCTGCTGGTGATACCTGAAACACAACCCTCCAAAAACCTCCAAAAGCTTCCAAAAACAGGGATCTGGGGTCCTTGGTGGCTCCCGTGACATCTCCAGGGGTCATCCTGGAGCTCCCTGGGGACACACACCCAGGATTCCTGGAAGCCCAGAAAAGGGTTGGGGTGGGAAAGCTGAGCAGTGATAACAGATCTGGGGATGTAAAGGCCCCCAGTGTTCTCCAGACACTCCCTTGCATGTTTGGCACAGGGCAAAGTGGAATAAAATATGGGCACGGGAGGCAGGGCCTGCTGCAATGCATGGGGTCTGCCTCCACTCACCCTAAAACATTGTTCCCTCCCCTGCCCTAACACACTTATTTAATAAAACCCACATGAAGAACAGTATTTAGATTTCTGGTCGTACTTCTTGCTTATATCCAAATCCTTGTGAAATAATATTTATGTTTTAAACAGGCAGAAAGGAGGGAAAAGGGAAAATTACCCCCCCCAGATGCCAAGATCACAGCAAATCTCACCAAATTGCCACGGCACCAGACTTCCACGTGAAAAACAGAGCAGTAAAAAAAAAGTCACCTTTTTTTCTTAGAAACAAAACATCAGAATAATCTGAAAAATGCATTTCACTGCTCTTTGTTGTATTTAGCACGAAGATGTTTCTGTGGCAGCACTGCCCTTGGCCAGGGGCCCATAGCCCATCCGCACGCAGAGCGGCTTTTCTCACGCCTCTGCTGTTATTCCATGAGGGTTTTATTCGATTTTAGTCACTTTTTAGTCATCTTTAATCATCTTTATTCATTGGCCTGCCCCAACAGCATCTACAAAGTCCTCTCTGCTCTATGCCATGGTCCCATCAAAGAAAACATCTTCACCTCTTTTTTTTTCCCCCTTTCAGCCATAGCACAAAGTGTGCTAAAATACAAAGGTTTGGGTCTCTCGTCAGTGGCATTTTTTTACCAAATGCGTTTTACAAACCCAGTGGGACACAAGATCTGATTTTCGCCTTCATTAACCAGGGAAATCATCTTAATCATTCAACTACTGATATATCTGCCCCTCTGCCTGCATCTTTTCAACCCCCCAAGAGGTTTTAATTGAGAATTGACAAGGCAGATTCGTTTGATATAGAATAAGCTGACTTTAGAGGAACAGAAAATAAAAATAAACCTATGTTATTGTTGTCGCCAGGGCACGCAGCTGCAGTTTTGGAGCCACACCGGAATTTTACCTGTATCAGGGGTGTCCAAGTACCATAAATTCCTGTAAATGATGGAAAATGAAGGTGCGCAAACCCACCTGGGCATTTTCAGCACTAATTCACCACTATGTGCCCACACATTGGAGCTGCCGTGTTCTGAAACCCCAGGAAAACAGGAGAACCTGGAATAATTACGCAGCAACCGCGCATGTCGAGCTCCTGGTGGATCTGTGGGGCCGACGCTCGAGGACCTGCCAAGACCCCGGTGCGCTGCCAAAACCCCACTGCTCAACACTGCAGAGGATTATCCAGAGGAGAAAAAAATCATAATAAACCCAAAATCCCAAAAGTATAACCCAAAAAATAACCCGAAAGCCTTCAGTATAAGCTGTGGAAAAGTGGATGTGCTGTTACCGCAGCAGCTATTGCTTGTTTTCCACTTAATGGGGGAAAAAAAGAGTCTGAGTTATTTGAAATACACCTGGCCAAAGGGTTTTTATTCTCCTCCTTGCGTTTTAGCTCCTTTCTCCAGCCACCCCCACCCCCCTGATCCCCTCGCACCGGTCCTGGGAACCCAGCGTTTCCCAGGCCGCTCACCCCCAGGCGGTCATTAAAAGGTCTAATTAAAAAATGCGGGATATTCGCCCAGGACACAGCGTTCCCCACCTGGGGTGTGCTCCCAGCGGGTTCCCACGGGTTCCCCCACGTGATATTTTTTTGGGGAGGCTCCATGTCCAACCTATGACCACTTTAACCACAGGGATGCCCATCACGCTGTGGAGCACGGCGCCCATTGACGTCCCTTGGAAAACCCTTAAATACCCAGCACGGGCTCAGCGGTGCAGCATTGCCACAGCTCCATCGCCTGGGTCAGGATTGAACCCCACCAGCACTCCAGAGCCTTCAGGATCCACGTCCCCAACCAGAGACCCACGTCCCCAAGCCATCAGTGAGGAAGAGCTTCTGCCAGCATCCCACCTCAGCAAGGATGAGCCCGCGGTGAAGGTAAATCCTCCCCTCCCAAGCCCCTTTTTATTTTCCAACTAAGTAATTCTGTGGTTCAATTGCTGACAAGATTCAGAGCTGGGTCTTGCCAGGGTTAAGGATTTCTTCCTTTTATTTTCTTTTCTTCCTGCTCATATAATTCAAGTGGCTGAACAGATTTTCTTCAAAGGCTCAAAACCAGCCAGAGTCTGGTGGAAAAAAACAAGGTTATGGGGAGTTAGCTCAGAAGGGAGCCTGGGAAATTAAAAAATATTGTAAATTGAGGTCTGAGAGGCCGCCTGTTAATGGCATAAATAAAGCTCTCAGGGCAAAGCTGATGGAAGTGCTCAAAAAGCCAGGGTGAGTGGTTCTGCTCCCAGTGATGTCCCTGGTGAGGACATTGTGGGAGATGCTGCACGTTGAGTGCAGGGACCGTGCCCGTCCTTCTCACCTCTTGCTCTGTGGGGAAGCCTGTGCCAGGGCAGGGTGGGCAGCACCTGAAGGTCACAAACCCTGCCCTGGCAAAGAGTAATTAACCCATACCCTATGATAATTAACCCATGCATCCCAGAGACCCATCCGGTTTCATCAACCAGCCCCCTCATGGGAACTCCTCTGCCCAAAAGGCGGTTGCAGCAGTTGCCACTTCAGGCACTAAAATATTTAACAACTTGGGTTGCAAAGCACAGCAAAGCAGAATTCGTGGCCAGGCTGTGGAGATAGGATGGTCCCATCCCCTCTGATCTTTGGAAACCCTCAGCTGCACCCACAGGCACCCACAGCAAACCCCAGCAGCTCTCATCCACCTCCATATGGGAGGTGCTTTCTTTGGGCTTGCTGCTTGAGATCAGGACATCTCCATGGGACACTTGGTTGTGCTCCAGCCTGGTTGTTTTAACACTTCCTTGCTTTTCTTGAGGAAAAAGAAAGCAAGACAAGACAGGTGATCTTCCAATTACATCAAATGGATGAGGGGATAGAGGCATCAAGAAAACCTCAGTATATCAGGAGTCTCATGCTCAGATCACAGGTTTTGGCAATGGTAGTTGTTGACGATGATTCCCAGCAGCTTTTGATCCCCAGAGGGCCAATACTAACGGTTGACAACTTCAGATGGTCTGTTTGGGAGAGAGGACATCCAGAGAACAACCCAATGTGAGTATGTCCCCAGTGCAAGGGGACCATTGAGGGCCCTGTCTACAGGCAAACCTGGTGGCCCAACCCCAGCTGAGGGTGTTAGATCACCCTGGCAGCACTGAGGACCGTAAGATGGGCCTCAGACCACTCACAGGGGGCCAGAGGATACCCTGGCCACACTACTTTGTCCTTGGTGGATCAGGTACCTGGGCCAGAGGTGGCAGAGGTCCCTGCGTCCTCACAGGTGACCCCATGAGCGCAGCCTTGCAGATGACGGCGTTTG